TCCAGGAAGATTATGGTGGTGATGGCATGAGGCATTAGCTGGAAGGAAAGAGCACTAAGATGAAAAGTCAGTCAGTTAACTCTTATAATCACTGAAATACATATAATGGAAAGTAGAAGAACATAATTAGGATGATGGCAAGAGGGGAAAAAAATGAAGTAATGTAGTGATAGAGGGAAAAATCAGACCTTGGAGACAGGACACAGGTGGAAAAGAGAGGCCAAAGAGGAGCGGAAAAAGTGGAGGAAGGAGAGAGTTGAAGAATAAGTTACTAAGGTGAAAACCCAGAGACTGCTCAGGGTCTCTGTGAGACCAAGTCCAAACTGCCCACGTGGGATAGGATCTAGAAGATACATTCACTAGTACCTGCTATATCTTGTAAGGTCTTGAGTAAAAGGGGGGAAAAATTAAAGTTGACTCAAAGGTTGAGTCAGTGACTTTATATTTTAACTTCCAGTTTAATTCTGCACTGAATTTCTAAGTCACAACTTGGCCACTCTATAATGGTCAATGCAGGATGGGTAATGGTAAAGGGAGCCAGGTCAATGTTTAAACATACTACAAACAATTCGTAACTGGAATACCAGTACTCATCACGTTCATGGTTCCAATATGTGTGAATGTCCGTTATCACAGTTTAAATAATAGCCATCCTTTAACGACAGGGTTCATGCCTCAGGTACCGCAGTGTATTAACTGAGTAACTACATCCAGTACAAACTTCACAGCCAGCTCTCTGATCCACCAATCACTACATAAATAACAGCTGCACCCATGACCAATGACCAATCCTGTCACTTCTTTCTATGTGTTCAAAGTTCAGGCATAAACAGTGAAGGAGGTAGTTCTGTGGCCTCCTCATCTCGAAGTGATAAAACTACAGGACATTTTACAAAAGTGCTGAATTGAAAAACAGTGTGGGCCAACGGAAAAGAAAGTGCGACAAAGAAACGAGAAGTGATAATACTAGAAGTGAACTTGGAAAGTGGTGGTGATGAAAAGGATGAAGGTATCCCAAAGGCAGTAACATAAAGGGAACGCATTGATACTTCACAACTTTGGATCAGCTTCCAGCATTTTGTTTAACTTAAAAAGGAGAATGACAGTTCACTAGAGGAAAGAAAAGCGTCTCACTCTATATCTTAAATTACACAAGGAGAAGAAAGCAAGTATGTTCAAACTATTCTTAGTAAGTTTTACCCAGAAATAAAACACTTCAATTCTCACATTTTAAATTACACAGTACTAATAATATTTTGCTGGGGTTTTTTTTACTTCTCTATATATTTATAACCTACATTAGAAGAGTTTTAATATTTTGTTAAAAATGTGAAATGTCATGGAACTTATAATTTTTCCATTTTCGATGGTTAAGATGCCAAGTGGTGACTACCTATAATCTATAATAGAGTTAACTTTATATATATATATAACATCTTTTTTGTAAAGAAATATTAACCAATTGACTTTCGCTAGAGAGTTCCAGTATCAGTAAATGCCTTTGAAATACAACATGACCTTAAGCAGTTTTGTTTAAATCTACTTTTAAACCCCTGAGAGAACTTCCCGCACAACTGTTTCAAGGACAGTACTAACATAAGTAGATATAGCAATGATCCCTAAACCCCACTAATCCTGAGTCTCCTTGGTCATAAAGGGAATGATTTCTACTTGACTTATTTCAACCAATAAAAGGTCACTTTTTATAACCAATTGTAAATGAGAAATAAAATTCTATTCTCTTGTTCCAACATTTTTAAAAATCTCAATTATAAAACTTTTTGACGCAGCTCAGTGGTAAGCCCTTTGTTGCAGGTAATCTTTATA